TATTTTTGCAACATAAATAAAAAGAGTCAAAGTACAAACTTTAAACCCTCATAGCTTCGAAATTTTTATAGATAATTTTTTTTAAATATTTTATCCATGTTCCTGGTATCTTACCTTATATGGCATTTTTCTCTGGGGCGCGAGTTCTGGCGCACCCTGTATACAAAATTAAATGTCGGTTTAGTAAAGATTGGCAAAGTTTACAAAGTTAAATGGAGCGATTAATTTTTGTGTATAATATTTTCTGTAATCTCAAACTTGACTTAATAAAAACAAAAAATCGTGAAAGTAGTTAATTGCAACGTCCCTTAAGAGTATTGACATAATCCCGCATCCAATGTTCCCTTAATTAAGACCTTGCCAGTGATTAGCATGGAACTAATCACGGTTTAAATATTTAATTAATCTTTGAGGAGCATTTGTACCATCAAGTGTTACATAAACTAAGTTAAAAGTAAACACATAAAACTTGCCATTTGTGTACGAATAAATTAATTAGGCTAAGTGTGTGTAAACTCAAGTTGGTTGCAACTCTCAGTATCACTAAATTACTTTACAAAGCAGTTACTTAAAGCTTGACATTTACGTTATCTTGACACTTTTGTGTTTACTTACGTGGGGACTGTGGGCTTTGTTCGCATATCCCATGTGCAATATATTGTCTCTAAGACATGATGCAAAGTTTGTACAAATATTTCAATAAAAAATCTTTTATCAATTTTCACACATACAGGTGTCCCAGCGAATTAAAAATCTCCATTACTGACCTTTTTTTTTTTTTAAAAAATTGTTATAAAAACTTGTGTTTTTTTAAATGAATTTTTGGAAGTAGCTTTTTAAAACAATGTTTTTAGGGTGAACTTTTATTTTATTTTATTTCGCTTGGTTTTAGAAATGAGACGTTTTTTTTTGACAAAAACTTGCCCTTTTCAAAAATTTATTACACAAAAACTAAGACAGCTAGAATACATTTTTTCTTACTTCTGCAAAAAAGTACAGAATTTAAAGCTGTAGCAATTTTTTAGTGTTTTGCATTTGTAAAGATTAATAAATTAAAAAGTTTGTTAAAAGTTAAATAACTTAAAAAATTTAAATGG